TTCCACTTCACGCCTGTCTTCTGTGTGGTCGTGGTATTACTGGGGGCGAGCCCTGCACTGCTAACATGTTAAAGCGGGCACTACCACTGTTTTTTCACCGGTTACTTCTTTGAAAGGTGCTATGTTACCAAGTTTAGTGCCGTATTCTCGTATTGACATGTTATAAAAAATTTTACAAAATTATAATAAGCTTCATCTTTTGTTACAAATAAAAACATGAACATTTAAATATGATTTACTAGCTATTGCGCGCGACTTCACCCGCGTTAAAAGTAAAAAAAATATAGCCTATGTTACTCACTGATAACGTAGCTTTTTTATGGTGTAATTTTTTTTGAAAAATACCCAGTAGGTAGGAGTTATTGCAATACATACAAAAGTACAAATCTTTGTACTGTCTACTAAAATTAATTTTAAAGGCGGTTTAAAGGACCTATCTATAGATAGCGTTAGTGGAATATGTGAAAAATGTCTCATCTGAAGTGTTAACTATGCCTACTCTATATTTTTGATACTCTTTGACTTTACAGTTAGAAGTTACACAAGTTTGTTTTATATCTGGAGATGACACACGAGCAAATAGCCACTTGAATTCGGCAAAATGGCGAAGCAAGCTGCTGCCCATAGACATCTGTAATTGATTATCTAACCTTAATTGAGAGAAACGCACACAAACAGGTAATTTCCCCTTCCTATGTAACTCTTCAATCAAAAACAAGAGTGTTCAACTAGCTGATATGCCAACTAAATCTCAGTTACAACCTTACAATCTAAGTATAATAGTGGTAGAGCCCGCTTTAACATCTTCGCAACGAAGACAGACGAGAATTGGAAGCAAGTCCGCGTACAGTCTGATGAGTGTGGTGCCGGAAGCCCAATTTTAGTCTTTTTTCCTTTTCACTCTTTTTCTTATAAGAAAAAGCTGGGAAGGGGACGTGGATTTGATGCTAGAGAAGATGCATAGGAAGGGGAAAAATCCTCTTTACGTAAGTTTCCTCCGTCGTTTAAGGGTAGGCAGGTCCGCTATTGCGAATGTCTATGGGCAGTGGTCACTTTGGTATTTCGGCGGATTCAGATTGCCCTCGTTTGATATAAAAAAAAGTTTAGACTCACTTGAGAACTTGGTAGTTATGTATCATATCTTGTTGATAAGATCCTTTGATATTAAATGTAGGTTCTTTGTACAGCGGCGAGGTGAGCGTGTATTCAACATGTTTCGAGCCGTTCACATCCCATTTGTATGACAACTCGTTGTCAATATTCTTGTACTCAGAGTTTGAAGTCCATGTTAATGTCGCGTTAGCGTCTAGACTTTCACCTAGATTAAGCACCTGGAATTATGATTAAGCCTTGTTTTAGCAAAAAAAACTTAACATTACATTCAAGTATAAATAAGATTGGATTTAAGTTATAAAAAAAGTATTTTATTTAAAACAAACATTGAAATTTAACTACATGTATTTACTATTTAGTCTACTGACATGAAATAATATTATTCTAAGATATGTTTTTTAATTTATGCATATTTCTGTATATCAACTCCTTTGAAACTTTGTGTAGAAAAAAAAATCTAAAGCGATTTGCATTCAATTCGAATACTTAGATCTATGACTTAATAACAATTAACTAGTTTTTCCCTGCAACATCGTCTGCACGGAATTTAAAAAAAAACAGATTAGTAAGTAGACTATGTGTTATTCCAGACTATGCTCTACATATATGCCAAATTTCAGCCAGTTACTAATATAATTTCATCGAGGTTAGTTGAACCGTTTTGAAAATACATAATAAACATCTAAACTTTTGCATTTATATTAGTACTAGCTTTTGCCTGCGACTCCGTTTGCGTGGAATTAAAAAAAAAACAAAAGTGAGTATGTCTTCTTCCAGATTATCCTCTACATCTGTGCCAAATTTTACTGAAACCCCTTCAGCAGTTTAGGCTACAAACTGTAACAAATATCCATCTAAACTTTTACATCTAACTAATATTATAAATGTGAAAGTTTAGATGGATGGATGTTTGTTAGAGTTTGTAGCCTAAACGGCAATTTGGCATTAACGTAGAGCATATTCTGGAAGAACACATAGGCTACT